GAGGGGCATTTCATCCATAGGGAAGGCATTGGAAAGGGCAAGTTGAATCTCGAGATAGGTACTATTCCATTACACAACCTTGTCTGTATCAAAATAATCGAGTTTTTTGTCATCGAGTCAGCGACTTTACCTCCACCTGCAACCCATACTAGCTTTCCCCATCCATTTTGACAACTAACTAAATTGTTTACAAACTCGGTTTAGCGAGCATGTCTGTATCGTGGACTACAATGAACGAAAAACACTAGATTTTTACAATGATCATCAACCCGAAACTTCGTATGACGGGCATTTCATCTATAGGGAAGGCATTGGAAAGGGCAAGTCGAAACTCGAGATAGGTACTTAAGGCAAGAGCACAAAAAAGAACAGCATTAAACATGACAGCTGAAAAGACCAACCCATATCCATTGATATCAAAAGAGCGAAGGGGAAAGTAAATAATAATCATACGTAGCTCGCACCATAGCATCCACTCCCACAGTTTCAGACTCCAAAAACGAAATGGAAAAACATTTAGAACTGAGGGCTAAACATGACTCGAGGATCTTCAAGGGAAAACAACAATAATAATTGGAACAAATAATGAATATATGAATTCTTTATGATCACCATGAAACCAAACTTTGCAATGTAGGCTGACATATATCAACAGTGAGGAAGAAAATCGATATCAATTTACTTCAAGGTTCAGGAGACGATGCAGGCATAGGCGTAGGTGGCTTTAGAAGCGGCTGGAGAGCCTTGACGACAATGCTCATGTTCGGCCTGAACTCGGCTTCATATTGCACACACAGTGCTGCCACAGCAGCCAGCTGCAATAACCATAAAACCAAGTCGATGTCACAATCGTATCTCATTAGTTTAACTTTGTGTAACGACGTAACGATATGTACCTTGGCAACTCCTTTAGGTGGATATTCACCCTTCAGCCTTGGATCAACACATTGTCTAACTTTGTCTTCACTTAGCCTTGGAGTAGCCTTGAACAATAAGGAACAGTCATTTTAGAGTTGTGAAATTTAACTAACCGTAAACGAAATGGAAAGCATGCTCGTGTACTCACCCAAGTAACAAGACTCTGCTGCCCGCGAGGCATGGTGTGATCAACGGGTTTCCTCCCAGTCAAAAGCTCGAGTAGAACGACTCCAAAGCTGTAGACGTCACTCTTTTGTGTCAATTGTCCTGTCATTGCATACCTGTGAAAGAGAGAAATACTTTCTCAATCAACAATAGCTACAAGTAAGAAACCATATGAACGAATGAGATTTCAGAAACATTACTCTGGGGCATGATAGCCAAAAGTTCCTAAAACACGAGTAGAATGAAGTCGTGCAGCCATGTCCGGAGCTTGGTTAGAAAGGTTAAAGTCTGCAATCTTTGTTTTATACTCTTCAAAGAGAAGCACATTGCTGGATCTAACATCTCTATGTATGATAGAAGGTTGAACCTTCTCATGCAAGTACTCCAATCCTCTAGCTGCATCGACAGCAATTCTCACACGTTGCATCCAATCGAGCACTGGACCAGGCTGTGCCCCTTGCACTCCCTTTCTACCTGTGTAGAGGACACAACAACTCGTGAAATTGTCTGGCCTACATGAAAACTCAACCAAATGATTGAACTTAATGCCGTGGCATACCGTGCAATACGTCATGTAGAGAACCCATAGTTGCAAACTCATATGCAAGAACACGAAGATTTCCTTCAACGCAGTATCCGTGCAACTCAACAAAATTTTCATGTTTCAACCTTGAGACTGTAGAAACCTGAATAATGTATACAAGATAAGATAGAGTTGTACCGTGCTAAATCTATTTATATCGATATTGTAAACAAACCTGAGTCAAAAAGTCAACACTCGAGTCAGGCTCGGAGGATACATCCAGCTTCTTTACTGCCACAGTTTTCCCATCGTTTAATCTAGCATAATAAACTCGACCATAAGACCCTTCACCAATCAATGCCTTGGACCCAAAGTTGTCAGTCTTTTCTTTCAATTCTTCCAGAGACAACGCTGGAACATCTATGGGAGGTGGAGCTTTTGGTGCTTCCGATTTGTGAGAAGCTGGCTCTTTTGAGACCTTTTGGTGACCTAAAACGCATAAGACGTATTTAAATCACATAGTAGATGAATCATAAACGAGGCTATAGCTATTAAATCAAGAGTCGTCTCGAACAAGAACAAACTAATGATAACTATGCTTAACATATGGAGGAAATTGATATCTAACAGGCTTCAGAGTAAATAGATTAGACTATTACCACCATCTCCATAACTTCCTGGGCTTTTTAGGTGCTCACTTTCCGCTGATGGGTAGGGTTCTTCAACTTGACAAGCACAACAAAGCCACCTGCGCATTCTATCCCTTTTACTTAGATATAAATCGTCTTTCGATCCAGTATTGTTCAAACGTATGAAGTAACCAGGAGGAGGGGCATGCGCCTGCACGGTAACCAAACGCTTTACAAAATTATTCTGTTGCTTTAAACGATAGGAGACGGATTAATAGGAAAACACAAGCAGCAATGATCCATGAAAGATCCTTTTGCTCTTTATTCAAATATAAAGGAGATGAGAATATGCCATTGTAAGAGTCCAAGCCCACAACTAGCAGATATTGTCCTCTTTGGGTTTCCCTTTTGGACTTCCCATTAAGGTTTTTAAAACGTGTCTATTAGGAAGAGGTTTCCACACCTTTATAAAGGATGCTTCATTCTCCTCCCCAACCGATGTGAGATCTCACAATCCACTCCCTTTTGAGGCCCAGCGTCCTCGCTGACACTCGTTTCCTTCTCCAATCAATGTGGGACCCCTCACTCCACCCCCCTTTGGGGCACACCGCCTCGTGTCACCTCCTTCCGGGCTCAGCCTTCTCGTTGACACATCGTCCGATGTTTGCCTCTAATACAATTTGTAACAGTTCAAATCCACCGCTAGTAGATATCGTCCTCTTTGGACTTTCCCTTTTGGGCTTCCCCTCAAGGTTTTTAAAACACATCTGCAAGAGAGAGGTTTTCACACCTTTATAAAGGATGCTTCGTTTTCCTCCCCAACCGACGTGGGATCTCACAATCCACCCCCCTTCAGGGCAAACGTCCTCGTTGACACTCGTTCCCTTCTTCCTTTCTCCAATCAATGTGGGACCCCCCAATTTACCCCCTTTTTGGGCCAACGTCCTTGTTGGCACACCGCCTCGTGTCACCCCCTTCGAGGCTCAGCCTTCTCGCTGGCACATCGCCTGATGTTTGCCTCTGATACAATGTGTAACAATCCAAGCCCACCGCTAGCAGATATTCTCCTCTTTGGGCTTCCCTAAGGTTTTTAAAACGCATTTGCTAGAAAGAGGTTTCCACATCTTGCTTCGTTCTCTTTCCCAATCGACGTGAGATCTCACAACAATATTGCAAGAAATGAATCAAGGGAGAAAATTAATTTTTTCATGAAAGGCGAGAGAAAAATGACAAAAGGGCAAAAAAGGGGCAACGTTCCTCAAGATAAGGGTTGAAATATACTACGAAGAATTTAAGGATTCATTGATCCTCAAATCTTTCTATTCCACCCTGATCACATTCTTCTTGAACAACCCAACTTTCAGCATAGTAAAAGAACAGACAAGTCCATAGACAACTTTCGGTTTATGTCATATTGAAACATAAATTCTTCAAAAACGACATGACAAAGACAAAAGGAAACATGAAAATGGAAAAATATCCCCTTCCATAATCAATTTTAAAAGAACTTTAATACCTTTTCTGGAACTTATATTACAAAGAGATCATAGAAGATAAGCATATAAATGGAAATATGAGACATTGCATGTAATGAAGGCAATCAAATGCAAGAAAAATTCCAACAATCCTTACCACTAAACCAAAACGATGATGATCTCGACCGTCCATTACCAGATCAAAGAAACAAAACACAAAAACACAAACCCAGATACAGATTGCTACCTCAGAAACCAAATCAAATCCCAGAAACAGAAAGGAAAAGAAAACGAACAAATCACTCACAACCCAACAAATAAAAGAAGGCTGTAAGAGAAAATCAAAAGCGAAATAGAAAAAAGAGAGAGAAATGGTAATAAAAGGGAAAAGCAAGGCGATAAAAGAAGAAGAGATGGAGAGGCGAGTTTAGAGGAAGGGGATTACCTTCTGGTTAGAGCCTCTCCTGGGCTCCGGGAAGAAAAAGGGGAAGAATAAAGGAAAAGACAGGGTGGAATTGGAGGAGGAGTGGTGGGTTCGGGTTTGGTTTCGTTGGGTCTTCCTTCACTTTTGGCTTTTCGGTACTTGTTCGGAGCAAACGCAATGAGCGGATGACAGAGAAGCTAACGCGGAGGCGACGGTGCACATCTTTTCTTTTACTTTCTTCTTTGTTACATTAAATTAATACAAATATTTTTTAATTTTGATTTTTTTTAAAAATACCTTTCTTAATAATATATTTAAAAATATTCATAAATGAAAACGGACCATCTCTCTCAGATTATCTCTAAACTTTTTCAGTAGTATTTTTAAAATGGGTACTAACAATTTTTTATATTAATATTTTTTAATTAATAATTTCTTGAAATATGGTTATAAAATTTATTATATAGTTATTTTATCCTTTTTAATTTGCATAATTTAAAGCATTATACCTATATCTTTAAATGTTTTTTTTTTACATTAATATTTTGAAAAATAAAAGCTAAAAATAAAATAATTAAAATAGACATGTTTATTAATAAATAAATAAATAAATAAATGGATGGCAAAAATTGAAAAATCCTACATATATATATATATATATATATATATATATATATATGCGTTAAACCCCATTTTTTTTCATTTACTCTCGGTGGCGCCCCTAAAGCCCTTGTGCTTTCTTCCAGCAATGGCGAATGGGTTAAGTTCCGGCGATGGTGATGGGTTCAGTCGAAAATTCTCTGCCTCTGAGGACCACGCACGATCTACTTTTCATCCGGACGATTCTGTCGCTAAGATCTCTGATGACGAGATGAAGTTTCCTTTGATCGTCTCGAATCCAAGCCTGCAGTGTGAAGTTAGGATGAACAGTTCGAGTTCTGCTTCTCCAGAAGAGAACGCAGAAACTTCTGTTGAAAAGATGGTCGTCCGCGATTGGATTTCTGCGTCTTCTGAAAATGGAGGAAACATGGGAAGTCTGGTGGACGATGCTCGGATTCTTGATGTGGAGCTCGGAGAAGAATCTTTCAAGGTGGATTCTGTCCATGATTTTGAAATGATAGGTGCCGTGGAAGATGGGAATCAAGAAGTTGCGATGGATGAAGTAGAAGCGAAAGATTTTGTAACAATTAGTGTTCCGAGTTTTGATGGAAATCAAGATTGTGCGAAGAAAGAAATTGTTCAAGAAGTTCAGTTTTCTACTGCTATGGAAGCCGACAGCAAAGAAGCCTTTGAGCGAACCGAGGAATTGTTGAGGAAAGAAGCTGATACTGAGAGCATTCTGGAGATGAAAAAGAAATTACTATTGGAAGAACTTGAAGCCTTGTTGGTTCCTGGAGAAGAGATTCTTCTAGAAAAGGATAATTGCGGCAAACCGATGCTTATTGATGAGGAGAAGATTGCCGGTCAGCAAAATGATTCTGAGAACACGAGCGTTCTTAGACAAAGCCATTTATCTCTCGGAAATTCATTGAAGATTGAAGTAATAGACGAAACTGCAATAGTTGAACCTGTTCATGTTTCCAAAATTGGAAATGGAGAAGAAATTGACATAATTTGTCCAACAAGGTCAATGCAGATCAATGTGAGCAAATCCCATGAACCCGAAAGAGTGGGGAAAAAGGCTAGAAGATCGAGGAGGAGGGCGAGGGAAGCGAAGATCTCAGAGGTGCATTGGAATCTGGGGAATATGAATGAACTTGATAAGAAAAATGCTGAAGGAAATAAGATAGTGTACTCAAGGAAGGATATGGAAGCACTGAGGTTTGTAAATGTTTCAGAACAGAGTAGATTGTGGGAAGCTATATGCAAGGAACTTATGCCCGTTGTGGCGAGGGAATACAGTAGCTTAACAAGCTCTAATTACCCAATGAAGACAGGCTCCTCCTCTGGTCCTAGGCAGCATTTCGAGAAGGGAGAAGAAGCCTCTTCATTTATAAGTAAGTATTTCTATTTGTTTTGCTTATGAAGTTTGCTTCTGATGGGCTGACTGTTACCAAGGCTATAGAAAGCTTAAATTGTCTGACTATTTGCCTGCTAAATGATCTTTTGCTTATGAAATTTGGTTATGAATGGTTTCTTATGATGCTAAAATATGGTTGATGTTTGCAAGGTGCCTATGAATAAATATTTTTATAACTTGTTCGCCTGCAAATTGTGCCATTCTTTTCTTCTTTTTTCTTTTTTTTTTTTTTCCGTTGATTTTTCTAAGTACTTTCTAGTTTCTTTGAGGAATTTGAACACCAAGTTGTTTGCATTACCACTCAAAAACGTAGTTTTTGAGTTAATTCCTTGAATACAAATGCTCTCGATTGGATATTGCCAAAAAAAATCTCATAAACCCATTTTGACTTTCCTAATTTTATATATATATTTCCAGAAGATAATTTATTATAAGCTTGAATCAACTGAGCTTCATAATTATAGTTATGGGTTTTGGTTTTGATTGTGTCATTTTGATGGTTTCAATTTCTCTTGTGCACAGGTGTTGTTGCTGCAAGGGGAAGATGGAATCATATGAATATTTTTGTGCATTGAAGAATGGCCTAAATCAATCGAACTAAAGACCTTATGTACATCAAAATCAACTTGTTTGTGTAATAAGTGTTCTTGTTTGTACAAATATATAGATTACATGAAATTTCTTTTCTTTTTTGTCTAGAAATGGTTACAGTCACATTCTTTTGTACATGATACAAACTCATCAGTAGGGTACTGAATGATATGAAAGTAATTCAACCTTTTCTTTTTTACTTGTTTGTGTGTATGACTTTGTTGTCTCTGTTTATTTAAACTGAAATCAAAACCATACAAATTATTTCTGGGGTGGAACATGATGTTTAAATATGTTCATAAGATTACTAACGTTTTGTGGCGACTGAACAGGGGATGGCTGTTCAGAAAGCTTGGATGCTGAGATAGAGGACATGGAAGGTGATAATGAAATTACGAATTTTGAATTCCCGAAACCCTCTTGCGGTCTTAGTGTAAGTGAAGATAGTGAAGATGATAGATATTACAACAGTATTCAGAGACCTGCCTTTCTGGTGGAGGGAGAGCCCAATTTTGAGTCAGGACCTCCAGAAGATGGATTGGAATATCTTAGACGTGTGAGGTATGTTTTTACATGTCAATGTTATTACTTGCATCTTGCTAATGATTTATATAACTCATTTGCGTTTCTTTCTCCCCACGTTTTAGTTTGAAACGCGAGGAAGATATAGTGTTTAGAAACTAATGAGAGAATAAAAAATGAAGAACATGGAGGATTTTTTTTAAGAGATTGTTTAAAGATATAGGCTTTTGGGATTGTGTACAGTTTAATTGTGAGAGTCTCACATTGGTTGGAGAGGAGAACGGAACACCCTTTATAAGGGTGTGAAAACCTTTCCCTAGTAGACACGTTTTAAAGCCTTTCGGGGAAGCTCGAAAGGGAAAGCCCAAAGAGGACAATATTTGTCGTGGTGGGCCTGGGTCATTACAAATGGTATCAGAGCTAGACACCGGACTATGTGCCAACGAGGATGTTGTTCTCCGAAGGGGGGTAAACACGAGGCGGTGTGCTAGGGACGCTGGGCTCTGAAGGGGGTGGATTTGATAGTGGTCCCATATCGATTGGAGAAAGGAACAAGTGCCAGCAAGGACGCTGGCCCCAAAGAAGGGTGGATTGTGAGAGTCCCACATTGGTTGAGGAGGAGAACGAAACACCCTTTATAAGGGTGTAGAAACTTTTCCTTAGCAGACGCATTTTAAAGCCTTGAGGGGAAATCTAAAAGGGAAAGCCCAAAGAGGACAATATCTGCTAGCGGTGGGCTTGGGTCGTTACAAGTTGGGCTTGGGTCCAAAAGGGAAAGCCCAAAGGGAATGCTTCGTGGTGGTATCATAGCTTAGCAAATTCTCATGTAGCTACCCTTTCTCTTTGATTCTTAATGATTGAAAGGCCTTTTGTACGTAGCTAAAGGTGGGGTTCTTTCTTCTTCAGCTGTTAGGCTGTCTTTCCTTTCCTTTCTTTTGAATATATTCTGTTGGTTTCTTGTATAAAAATAAAAAGACAGGTTTTTGGGTAATAAATTTCGTATTTCTTGAGAAAAACAAATATGGGTCCTATGGGCTTGCCTTTGAAAACATGATTACATCTTTGAATCATCAAAAATGATATAGTTGATTAAGGTGGTAGAGATCGTTTTTCTCTGAAGATGTGAGGATGTTTATATATAAAAATGAAGTTTTCTGTAGTATTCCTATGTATTTCTTGTTCTTCTTGTGTATGAAAAAACGAAGTAAAAAAAATTTTATGTGATTAGGAGTCTGGTAGCTGTAAACACTAACTTCCAAGTTGGTTTGATAATTGTATGGCTAGTTGGATTGAATGAGAAGTGAGCGGAGAGAATTTGACTCGAGGTTCTTGTTAGGAGGGAAGATACAAGTCGGGTGGGTCGCTGAAATAGATTAGGAAAGGCAAGTCGGGGAGAGGTTCTCGTCTTTCTTCCATTTCCCCATTCATGGATGATCCCACCAAGCTGATAGTCCTTGTTACGTGTGTGATTATTTTGTATTGTCTTTTTATATTCGCAAGTGTCCAAACAAGCTTGTGGCCACTTCGACTAATCTCACGAGACTACCGTCTATCCTTGCTATATTTGGTTATGTGTGTGGGCCGAACATTTCTACTAATTCTTTGATTCCAGTTAGTAAGAGGCATGATTAGTCTAAAATGTTTATCAATCTAAACCTTGTTAGGTGGGAAGCATCCCATATTCCAAATGTGGCGGTGGCTAAAGTTGATAGAAGTAACTTCAAGAAAGAGCGAAGTGTTTATATGCCAGTGATTCCTGCCATTGCCAATTGCCCCCAGAATTTACTGCCTTCAAAAGAGTGGGAGGATGCATTTCTTGCCGATTTTTCTAAGCTGCGTCAGGTATTTACATCTTACCTTTATCAATGATTCAAAAGAAATTGCCCATGAATGCCCATCATCAAGAAATTGTACTGCTTATATGAATTTCTGGACCCCGTTTCCCCTTGTCGTGTCAGGTTCTGTCGTGCCCCGAGGGACTTATGCAGTCTGATTTCATCTTCCATGAAAAGATCGATTCTGTGAGTCCAGACTCGATCGATCAGCCGAGCGTTGTCTTGCCTGCCAATGATATCGACTCGCAGCAACCCGAGGAACCGAATGCCAGCACTTCTTCAAAGGAAAACAGTTGCAACAACTATCCATCTTTATCAGCAATTTCAAAGATGAACTTGGTGTTTCGTGTTTCTTCGTTGAGGAAACGTATAAACTCGTTAGAAACACAAACAACACTCTCGAGGACGGACTGTCTTTGGCTATTTGCGTTAAGTGCAGCAGTTGATACTCCTCTGGATGCAGATACTTGTGCTTCTTTCAGGAGTCTGCTTCGGAAATGTGCCAGTTTGCGGGCCGAGAAGTCCGAGCTCGACGACGAGGTGATAATGCTCAATATTCTAGCCACCATTTCAGGAAGATACTTTGGACAGTCGGAAAATTGAAGCTATGGTGAAGTTAATAGTATCGCTTAGGAGGATAAACGTAGATGACTCTGATTGTTCCTTTTGTTTTGTAAGAGATTCATAGATACATACATATATACATACATATATTTGATCATTTATAATTTAGTGGAACAATTAACTTATAAATTGATGGTTTTTAATGAGTAAATTTATGTTTTTTTTTTAATAATTAGAGCCTTTACTAAAATTTAAATGTGACAAGTGACATAATATTTGTATTATGACATTTTTATTTTAATATATTAGTTCAGCTTTTAAAATGGTTTTTTATGTATGGGATTTATTAACTATAAAATTTTTAAAAAATTGTAATTAATTAAAAAAAAATTTAGAAACAACTTTATAACTATTTAATTTATAAAATTTTAGCTTATAAACTAATTTCATTTTTTTTAAATTTAAATTTATTTTAATTTGGCTAAAAACTCATGGAGAGAGAAAAAAAATTAAGTTTTCAAAATAATAATAATAATAATAATAAAAATGAGGCGAAACCAAAAATGGCAATTCTTCCTCGTCTTCCCGCCCGTCCGCCACCATGGTGAGAACGCGATGCAAGTCCGCCGCTGCCACTCCCCACTCTATCCCCTTCAAGACCGACCGGCCGCCGATCGCCACCGCCATTACGCCGAAAACACCGCTTAGTTGTTCTACATCTATCATTCCTTCCTCACTCAAATCAGTACGTTTTAGTTGACTTCTCCCTCAGTCGAACACTTTCTCATGTTTGATGATTTGTTTTCTGATTTTCTGTGTGTTCCTTCTCTCTTAGGTTTTTTTATACGATTGGTGGCTGACAAAGGCTGATGATGGCGAGGGCTTGGCTGTCGGAGGGTTTGCTTCCAGAGAGTAAGACATTGCTTCCCCTAACTCTTTCATTTCAGCTTCTTATTCGTTTTCGTTGTTCTTCGGGAAATGTGTGGTATCTGATGAGATATAGTTATGGCCATGCCATAATTGAGTGACTGAATATCGTTGCTAAAGATAATCTGTATCTATATTCTCTGGTTTATCTGTATTCTAAAATTTTATATTGATGTTAATTTGAGAGGAATTATCCTATGACTTGGTGAAGTTTTGAAATTGATTGAAAACTAGATAATGAGTTGGTGAAGATGAGTAGTTTGATGTTATTTATTTACCTTAATTGTTAATACTGGAAGCCATCCATGAAAAGTCTGGCATTGTGAAAAGGAAGAGTGAAACCTTAAGTTTAGATGATTGCTCAGGAAAAACATGTGATATCGTGCTAGAATGGAGTCCTCTTCCATCCTTTACTTATTGGTTCCTCGCCATCATACAATCTGGAATTATAAGCCTCCTGACTTGGTGGTTGCTTGCAGTTTAAAGTTAAACATTCAGACAAGACATTGAGATATCATGTTATCTCCTTGTTGGTATGTTTTATGGGAGAAGAGCTGATCATAATTTTATGAGCTATTAGTTAGCCACAAATTTGTGGGGAAGGTCTTTGGTGTTTTTGGTTTCCAATTGGCATAAAATCATCAACGGATGTTGGTATCCTGCCCATAAAAAATATCCATCTGCTTTCAGGTTTCCTCTTACGAACGTGGACCCAAAATTAATTCTTTGAGAAGGGTAATGATTAAAGATATTAATAAAACCACCATGGGTGATAAAGGGCTTAACGGGAATGAGTCCAAGCTATGGTGCCCACATACCTAGAATTGAATATGTTATTAGTTATCTTGACAACTAAATATAGTAGAATCAGAATGTTGTCTCGTGAAGTCAGTCGAAGTGCAAGCAAATGCAGACTTAGACACTTACGTGTATAACAATAAAATAAAATTTGCCGAAGGAGAAGAAGTGAAGCCCTTCACTCGTCATGCATACTTTTTTTTTTTTTTTCCAAGACTGAGGAATTTAATTGATGATTGACCTTCCTTTCATTGTTCTGATTGTGTTAAAAGATAATAGTTTTCATTATCTCGTACATTCGGATCGTATCTGTGCTGTTTCTTCTTTCAAAGATTTTTCCGATTCATTATTGCAGAGGTGCTGGGGTTAGAGTATTTTATTCTGCAGCGATTTCTAAGAGACATGAAGCCAGCATTCTCGAGGCAATAGATGGCATTGTCATTACTGTCAGTGGCTTCATAAATAGATCACGAACGCTTGAAAATGGCTTTCCTCCGAAGGTATGTATGCAGACCATTGTTCTTATTTCTCCCAACTTTATGTTCTTGACCCGTTACTGATGGCTGAACATATAAACATATCCTACCCTCCTGAATATTCTTGAAACTTAGAAAAATTAACGACATGTAACTTGAGCAGGTGTACAATCATTTCCTTCTTGGTTTTCCCTTCAATTGGAAAGACTATATGGGTTCTAGTTCGGATAAAAAATCCCAGTTGAAGTGTATTAAAGGAAGTACTTCCCATCCTGACCATCCAGGCAGAAGCCATGATTTTGAAGCTGACTTAGACAGTCTTGCAGTTACTAGGTTGCGAGATCTCTTTTTGTCCTCCTGTGAAAAATCTAGTCATGACCTCTTTATGACGAACCGAAATTCAAGTCGTAGTCCAACAAAAAAATTTGAATCTGGACTAGAAACCCTGAAAGGAAGACCTCAACGAGTGAATTCCTATCAATACGTTGACGAGCAAGGTTTCCGGGATGAGAGGAAGTATAGTGATGTAAAGGATCCATTGCACGGTAGTCAAGAAACTGATTCTACGGTGGAAATTGAACCCCAGAATCTAGGAAGCAGAAGTGTTTGCACAAGAAGCATGACCAAGTTGAAAAATTCTAGTAACAGAAGTAAAGAGAGGCTCATATCAGACTCTCACAAGAGAAAAAAGGACCAGGAGAGTAACCCTTCATGTGAAAACTCTGGAAAGAGAACTGGACCGAGAGTTAAAAGTAGCTCAAATTATACGTCAACAACCGATTTTACTTTTAGATTTGAAAAGGAAGTTGATGCAATCACAGATAAACCTGAGAGTAGAAGATCAAGTCTTAGGCTAAGGAACCAAAAGCGTCGATAGGTGTGGTATACTCCCAAGTTTTTGTGCAATGTTGATATCCATCCCCTTAAAGATTGATACTCAAATCAAGTATTTGTCTGGGCTCACTTTTACAATCGGAATTCAGTGCTCTCTCAGTCATCTCAAATCGACTTCGAGAGTTTTTTTTTTTTGTTCTTTTTTTCTTCAATTTGATTGATAAGATTAGGAAAAATGGACATCTTCCCACAGTTGTAGATATTTTTGTTTCTTATTGTTGTGTACGTTTATGTTGTCAGTGTATGTTTATGGTACAAGCATCAGATTGCTCGCTGGAGGGTTGTGTATTTCTATGTACAAAGAAAGATGACAATCTCCTTTGGAGAAACAATAGGTTCTTTTGGCTTTTGGGAAGGCATCTATGATCCTTCTAAAATTATGTGGAAGAGCTTTTCATGCTTTGAATTTCTCTCCCCTTTCAGTTTTCCTCTAATTGATTTGTGTGAAGACGAAATTTACTGTGTGGATGATGTGTTCAGGATCTGCCAGGACACCGTATGGATGATGCTATCTAAATTGGCATGAACCACCTTGTCGACAATTCTGTTTGAATTTAAAAGATTTATTGATAAAGAAGTAAATGTAAACATATATAAGGAACACAATCGAATTGAAATTTAAAGATTCTCTTGCCAACCAGTGTCATTGGGAGTTTCTGATCATAATATCTTGAGAAAATGATAGTTGAAATGACCCAACTGATGAAACTAGCAAAACAAACCAATAAAATCTAGGGATAATTTCTTATTTTATATCTTGCTAACTGAGAAAATGAAAGGCATTTGGCTCGGACTTGAGACTAACAACTAACAACCAACAAAATTGGCTAAATGTTATTTGGTAATGTAGTTACATCGATTTGATCGAATGGAATATTTTCAGGTCAAGGGTAAAGTCGTTTGATATCTCCGCAGAGTATTATTTGAGTGGTACTCTTGCTCAACACTCTTTAATGCTTGAAGTTAGTGACGTGCCGAAGTAGAATATTAAACTAAGATTAAAATATGTTTTGTACCTCTTCTAGAAGTATGCCTTCAACATTGTTGTAGAACTACAAATAGTGTATTTTCCCTTTTAGTAGTCGCTAGGAAAGATAAAAAGCTGATTCTGTTCAAATTAAACCAATCTTTTTTTCTTTTTTTTTTTTTTGTTTTTTCTTGAACTCAAAAATCAAAATGAACTAGTCTGTTGATGAAAAAAAATATCCCAATCCAAACCGAAAGCTATTTTGACCAAACCGCAAATGGTAATAATTTTCTCAAGCTCCCAAATTGAAATAAGATGAAGTCTTAAGAATTAATTCTCGTTCCAAATTTTGAATAAAGAATTGGATGACAATCCAAGACAAGGACTACAAACACATGCATGCATCAATCCCTGCCTCCGATCATATTGGGGACAAAGATGCAAATTGGTAACCCATAAAAATTTGGCTGAATTTTTTTCATGTAAATACAAAAAAAAAAAAAAAAAAAAAAAAAAAAAAAAAAAAAAAAAAAAAAAAAAAAAAAAAAAAAAAAAAAAAAAAAAAAAAAAAAAAAAAAAAAAAAAAAAAAAAAAAAAAAAA